ATAATATAATATTAGAAAAAACTTCGGACCTGAAAATCTGTTCGCAGTGTGGATGTTCACAAAGCACATATTATTATGCTCAAGTGTACTACGACTGTATGTCATTCTAACATTGGTGTCTCTATTGAAAGGATATACATATAGCTAAATGATCAAAGACCATTCAGCTTTGTGACACGTAATACTTTTTCCGGTAATTCTTTTAAACGAGAAAAGCATTTTCCTTTAACTTATATGAGCACAAAAAATATCTTTAAAAAAAAGACAAACCCATTATCATTAAGTCAAGAATCAAGGAAAAAACTTTCTAACTGAAGAAATGCATTTATGTATTAGGAAAAGTAAAACTTCACTTATTTGTCGCCTGATAGGACTGTTAGCTTGACAACAAAATGGTAATTGAAGTTGCTTTATACAGCTCATAATCACATCCATAGCAAAAATGTATGCACATTCTCGGCCATGCGAGCTCGTGCATAAATGTGCTTGAACTTTGCAAGTGAATGGTTGTAAATATTTACGCCCCTATCGACGTACATTTGGCCATTTGGGAGGCACGTTACTCTGAGCCTGTCTGACAGAGAGGGATACAACATCTCAATGAATGGATACTTAATTAAACAGACTTTCTCACATGTGACTCCCTCGTCATATTCTTTTGTGTGCAGCAGCAAAGTCCCTAACCGTTACACCACTGACATCAAATTTAAACACATTACAGGTACGAGAGGAAATTACGAGTAACATGTCCGAAAGAACCTCTCTCTTTACTTCCCTGGACATTTTCTGCACGTTAACGTTAACTTAAGGAATCCAGCTAATGGACTGTTGATGTTACTGTGATAATTGAAACACAATCATGTATTTAGTTGCCTCCCTATTTAAAAGCCATTTTAATTTCCAACAAAAAAAATAGCAAACAAAGCAAGAATCAAATAAAATTCTATTCCAAACTTTGTCAAAGTCGAAGAGCACAAAATTGAGGTAGGCTTGTCACTATAACATTCAGGGTAAAATAACAAATAAAATTATGAAGATATAAATCAATGAGCTCTATACATTTATTCAGAAATGTGTGAGTGAACAAATGAAGAAAATAAACAATCCCAACATTCAGTAAAGGAAAAATACCCTAAAACAAATGAAGATTACTGTACTACTTTGTACAAAGACTGAAACATTGTGTCCCTGACATGTTGACTCATCTATCTGAAAGATATGAGGGACTATCATGCCAGAACTCGTCTGCTGGGACATTTCAGTGACCCACTTTCAGCACTTTTCAAGCACCCGCGGGCAAGTGTGTTGTAGGCATCGCTGGCCGTTTATGACGCCACAGCGCCAGAAGAGAGACAGAGAGAAAGATATGAGGGCACAAAATAAGAATACAAGCATTTTAAAACTAATCCACAAATTCTTTTAAAATTATTTTAAAAAACAATAGAAACTTTGATAAATTTTGGTATCACTTGCTAAGGGTTTTTGTAATGAAAATGACAACAACTCCCCATCAAGATTACAAGATGAACATTTAGGGCATTAAGTCACAGTGTAAAAAACACGGAAAACAGTGAAGCAATCATATGAAACAGGAGAAAGATGCATAGATTTTAGCTTGCTCAACAAAGGAGGCATCTTATACTAGGTCTTTAAAATTTGCATCCCATCTACCTGCTCCTGCAATATCCAGGACAGAAGTAATTTTCAACAGTATCTGATTGCTTCCTTGTGAGATCCTGGCATTACAGAGGTTTTCTATTTCGTTGCTGTTTTGCTTTTTTTCTTTTGTAAGTGTTTTACGGCACTCGCAACTGCATTAGGTCATATGAGCGAGCAGGACACATAAAACATTTTCAGTTGGTATGAAAATTTGAATTTTGCCCTGATGGCGGTCGAAACCTACTCTGATTGATTTTGGACGACCAAGGGATCTTTAACGTGGGCAACTTGCACACAAGACCTCTGAGATTTTAGGCCCTTATCCGAGAAAGCTAGGTGTGTGATCTTACCTACCATAAGATCAGGGGTGTGGCTGAAAGTTAGTGAAAGACAGAAGTAAGAAGGAGCCAAGCAGTAGCAGTAGAAAGGTTGTAAAAAGAGTAAGGAGCCCAGAGAAGGGAGCAAAGGAGGCGAGGGGGTGGAAGCAGAAAGTGAAGACAAAAGCAGACTACAGAACATTGCTAGGGAGCAGGAAATGAGGTGAAAGGAGACAATTTTAGGGAAGAAAATTTTCCGTTGCTGTCCAGATTCAAACACGGGACCTATTGAACGAGAGGCAAACACCGAAACCTCTAGACCACGAGAGCCCCTTACAGAGATTGAGCAGCCTCTGATTATGACCTTGCACTAAATAACATTTGTCAATGACTTAGGATGATTTCACAAAATAGTCCCTGAGAGCCGCCAAGGCTTTCGATCTGTGCGAGATGGTGTTTTTTATGGATTTATCCATCTCTGCATAAGTTTGGGTGTAACCATCAGGTTGAAAAATTGGATCCCAACCAAAATCTGTGGAGCCCCTCGGCTCAACAATAGATCCGTCACATCTGCCTTCAAATGTGTAAATCTGAGCATCCTTTTCTCCAGAACAATAGGCAAATGTGCACAGAGCATATGCTGACTTGTCATCAAAAGCCTGGAGCATTTTATGAAGACCTGAAATTTAAGAAAAAAAAGACCTTCAATAATTACATGTTTTGATATATATAAAATCTGAATAGTCTTATAAAAACTTATTTAAAGCCTTTTTAAAGCTTTTTTTTCTGTTCTTTTCTCAACAGCTTCCATTGTACAACAACAATGGAAAAAATATCAAGTACAAGACTGACAGTTCCAAAAAATCTGCTGGCAGAAACAGCTTTTACAGTAAATCGAGAGATCTTTTCTTTTTTTTTTTGGAGTATTTTAAGTTTAAGAGTTTTGATTTTATAACACAAGAAGTTAAGAATCTATTTTCTCACCTAGACAAGGACTAACTACCTTTAATTTGAAACTCTGTTTTTTAAACTTTATTTATAACATTAATGGACAGTTTAACTATCATATCAAATATCGGTAAAAAACTTCTGAAGAACTTTCTGTGTCATCTCACCCTGCATTGATCCGGCCCTATTTTCTGGAGCAAAACATGAGTTCTTCAACTATACAGTTTGAGGTTGGAAAGAGTAGAATGAGAACAGCTTCAAGTACATATGTATGAGTAGAAAGGTGAACACAAAGTGGGCCATTTAAGACCTGAAGTCTACGAATCGAGGTCTCTTTAAATAAAGACAGAAAAGAGATATTTAAAAAAGAATCTATCTATGCTTGAAAATGCCCTTGTAAGTAAAGTCAATCCTTCTTTAATGACCACATGTCTAAGATAATCACCTGGACAAATGACCACTTGTATTTTTACTATATGTATTCTAATGACCCTGTCCTAGAGGACCACTTGTCTTAGATGACCACTATTCTTCTGGACAATGGGAGGTCATCTTGAACTTTTAAAAAACTGTAATTGGTATTCAGTTACCTGTAGTCATAAACTGTGTCAACTCAAACAAAGACCATGAACTGTACGGGGCAAAGGCAAGTTAGAAAATAAATTAGCTCCCCCACCCCTTTCCATTTAGAGTTAAACATAGACATTAACTTTCACTAAGTGTACCCGAAGATGAACAGTGTAACCAAAAGCAAGGACTCACAAAGCTAAACAGGAAAAAAAAAATCCAAGAAATAAATGATGCTGCGGTTATAACATCCAACAAGAAGTAACACACTGGTGCAGAAATGAAAAACAAAACAACATAAGACATAAATCAGAAAGAAAAGAAAAATTATGAAAAAGACTCTGCGGAGGAGAGGGAAAAATGAAAGATGTCAACAGTACCTGAGGGGCCAACTTTCTTCAGGAACCATTTGATATAAGGTCCAGGCATTCCACCGAGAGCATTGAAGCACAAACTAGTGTCCTCTACAAGAACAGGGCCGTTGACATGTCGGGCAGCCTCAGCACACTTGGACCGCGCCACCTCATCAGGCTCTCCTTGGTACTCAGGAAGGTCAATGTCCTGAATCTCTATCTAGATACAAATTATATATACAATACAAATAAAAGATTATGGAGAGCATAATAATATAATCAAACAAAGTTATACATTTTGAAACAGACATTGTTGGTCGAAAGATAATAGAGTACAAAAAAGGTTCAACCATTCTCTTGTGATAAATTATGTCTTTTCTCTTCCATGTTCGTTAAAATGTTGGTGCACAGTGCAGTTGACTCCAGATGAAATCTTTCCAATTATGAGGAAAGAAAGTTAAATAACAGTTCTCTAATGATTTCTATTTCAATTCTGTAGTGTAGTGACCCAGCATGCAACTTCACTGTTCTGATGACCTTTCTTAACATAGAAAGCACAACTATGATTTAACACTCCCAGTCAATTTTGTGTCAAGTATGTTCTTCTGAAATACCATTGAACAGATCAAAGCATAAAGAAAAAGCTGGAACCATAGCCACAGAAATTTCATATCAACTTACAACAGGTCAAAACCATCAGATAACAGAAGTACATTTTATTTCTCCAAAATGCCACTTTATTTAATAGTGCTCTTACAAGACATATATAATATAATATTTTGCAAAACAAAATGCATCATGAAAATATGCAGCGGCACAGTAGCACACACAAGAAAACTACTTCCTACCTTTTGAGGAAAACTTGATCCCATGATCTGATTGACTTCTTTGAGTTTGTTCTTGTTCCCAGTGATAAACATGATGGGTCGTGCCATCTTTAACATTAAGCAGATCTACAGTCACCTGAAACAAAAAAAACTGTCATAAGAACTACAGTCAAACCTGTGTAAGACGGCCACCAATTGTCAAGGAGAAAAGTGGCCGTATAAGACAGGTGGCCGTCTTAGGCAGGACTGATCAAGATAAAGAAAACAAACCATTCCCATCTGAGGCCCCAATCGAAAGTAGCCCCATTATGTTGTCTTTGTTGGTTTGTATTTCGTTTGTAATTTTTCTTTTGTCGCTGATTTTGCACAAGGGTGACAATAAAACGAAATGTATCAGACAAGGAAGACTGAGTGCCATGTTAAAACAAACACATGGGTCGTCACCACTCGGAGAACGAGTGGCGCTTCTGTAACAAGTTCATGTTACGTCCTTTGTTACTTTGTTACAGACTGGGTAAACAGTGACCACTCATCTCACGTACGATTTGTGTATGAGTTCTGGGCGGGGATTATGGGTTATGAGGGATCACATGCTTACCTCACCAGCAGCTGAAAATTGGTAGCTATTGGTCAACAGTGGGAGGGGCCTACGCAACATGATCGGTTGGAGGGACTACCTAACAACAACGACAGGTGATTGAATTATGACGGCTCGCCCACAACGCCAGGGGCCAATGCACAATTTATGACAAAACGTAATGGAGTCACCAAGGTGACCGTCTTAGACAGGTGTTATTGATTAGTATGATATGGGTTGTGTGTTAAATTATGGTGGCCGCGGCCGTGTTGGACAGGTGCCCGTTTTACACAGTTAAATTATATAGAAAAAAACGCAAGGGGGAAATGGAAAGTGGCCGTTTGTACAGGTGGTCGTCTTATAGAGGTGGCCGTCAGGGCAGGTTCGACTGTATTTCTCTTTCTGCACCTTTGTGAAAATAAACAAACCTATATGAAGAAAAGGAAGGACTTACGAAACGAGCGACCACCCCAGCAAGCACAATATAATATAAAAGAGACCTGGTCTATCCTAACCCCTGACCCAACCCCTAACCTAAACCCTCTATTCTACTCTGTTTCATAGTGGTCGTTCGTTACGGAATTTCTCTCAAAGAAAGTTGCCTGATTATTTTTAGTTATTTTAGTAAGTGAGTTCTTTAAAAAAAATTAACACTGCAAGCATGGGTGTGGGTACAAGAATTAGAATGGCAGCTCATGTATATATAATATTATATTTTATATATATATAATATTACTGTAACATTCACACTGGTTAAGTGATTGGGCTAAATCAACAACATGTCGACATTGATTTGGCACTTTCTTTTCTTGTTAAATTATTGAAACCTTGGCAATGTGCTGCACAGTGTTGACAACATAGGCCTACCCTGCTGTGAATGATTGTCTGAATGAAGTCCCACAAATGGTAGGCCTGTCATATATGTCATATTTGCCAATTTATATTATGATATATATTATTATACTCAAAATACAGTCAATGTCTTTCTTCTCCAGCTGCATGTGCAGCCACCGGCCGCTACCCACTTACTTACATTTAAAACTTTATTCTATTTGACCAAGGTTTAAATTTACATTTAAAATGAAACTGACTGTACACAGTGTTTAGATATAGAATCAAGATCTTGATCTAAATCTAGACTAAAGCCTACTAAAGCGGTAAAGATGACTACTGTCAGATCTTTCCACACCAAGAAGTATAGCAGCAGAAGACTAGACCGAGAACTAATACTAATCCGAGGGGCGGTAGGCCTTTGACCAAATCAAGCGAGAAAAAAATTAAGAAAGTCAGAAGAAAGTGTGTCATGTTTTGTTTGGAAATCAAAACTCTTGAGTCTTGACTCACAGGACAAGGGAATGGCAGGACGTGTGCCAGGCCGCGGAAGAAAATGCGGCAGAAAAGCGCGCAAGGTTTAGAAGATTCTGAACAGGACCAAAAGATAAGGTAGAAGTTAACGTTTTAACTGGTGGGTGCTATTCTCCATGTGAATACCCAAATTTCATCCTTAACTCACAATGTAACTTGTCTACCTTGATTTTTTCTTTATGTTTGTTGTCGCGCAACGTCGCTTGTTGACTGACTGATTGATAACCAGTGAGTTGTAACCACAGAATTCTACACAGTGGTTGTAACCAGTGACCACGACGACCACGTTGAACAATGCGGTTGCTGGCAGTAGTCAACAGTGTAGAAGATGGAAAGAAACGAATTATAAATCGTTATTATCTTATTAATCAAATTAGTTATTATTTTAAAAATAAAATATTATTATTATAACCCTCTCGCCTATCACACCTGTAAAATAAAAAGATACACTATTACACTGCACATTCCTTGATTCAAAATATATTGGCCTTGTCTCTCATGGGGCATAGGCAATTAAATCAACGAAATCTACTTCCTCTGGACTCTATGTTTAGGCCTCTACCACCCAGGAAAGCTGTAGGCTTATCATACATGAACAATTAAGATCGTCTTTCAGTACGCAAAAAGGCCATAGAGACATTGATTTTATTAATCGAAACTTGTAAAATTAAATCAATAAGTCCTTTCTAAATAAATATCGCCAGTCCACATTTGAAACCATTCTATGGCTGGCCAAAGGCAAACAAAATCCGTGTTTGTAACAATAGACACAGGAATTGATCTCTACATTTTAAAAATGTTATCCTTAGGCTGGGCCTACACGAGACTTTACC